GTGTAATATATATATATATATATATATATATATATATATATATATATATATATATATATATATATATATATATATATATATATATATATATATATATATATATATATATATATATATATATATATATATATATATATATTACACACACACCTCGGTACTGTATGTAGGCCCCTTCATAAGACACACATAGGATGTAAGCTTAATTTATGGTGAATAATTTAATTTGTATGTCAAGTTTCAGAGCCAGAGCCAATGATCAATTTAGACAAAATCAGTTTGTGACATATAAGCATCATGTATGCAAGGGGGGGTTATATGTCTCCTGTTTCTATCTAGCTCCAGATACATCAGGTAAAGAGTGAAGGGCACCTAATGCTAAATCAGTGACTGATCTTCTATTTTATGGCCAAGCCTGTAACGGGCAGTTTGGAAACCCTTCCATGTTAGTATGCAAGTCTGGCAGATATGAAGGGGGATTGACAACTGAAATCTATACTGGCTCACTGAAGAGAAGGGAGAGGCGTGGACCAGCTGATGTTATGTCACATGCTCTTTCAGGTTTCCTTATTCTATTTATTAGAGTAAAAACCTTTGTTTCCACCATTTTTTCCAGATGAGTTTTGGAGACTGACTGTAGGATAAGTCCTAACCACTAATGTTAAAACTCCAGTGTCCAGACTAAAGGGTGTATTGCACTTTTAAGCAAGTTGCCCAGTTCTGGGTTTGGCCATAAAATAAGTTTGGGGATCAATCCATGACGTACATACTAATACTTTACTCAGGTAGATTCTAATAAAGTAGCAAAACTTGGATTAAACATTGATAAGAGTGTAGTTCACTATACGTACTGTACCATAGTTCAAACATTCACCTGGAATAAGACATGAAACACAATGAGGTAATATGGTTACATGTACTGTACAATGATTATAATACAAAGAATGAAGAATAATATAGGTACCTGAAAGAGGTAGTGCTCAACCCTTGGCAGTCAAGTGTATCAGGCAGGTGTGGAGTAGCCACGAGTTTCATTGCTACAATATTGACTCTTAGCTATATGTGTTGTGAAAATAAAATATCAATGTAATATAAATGGATATATTTTTGAACTGATATATCAATTAAATAACTAACAACATTACTGCTTATCTCTATCATCATTCTACACTTAATGTACAGTCTCACACCAATTTGAAATTATTATCAATTAATGTGTAATTCTGTTTTCTCTAACAAAAAAGTCTTCAAAAATACATACTGGAGCCGTCTTAACAATCACCAGAAGTAAATAATATTTCCATAAAAAAATAAAATCAATTAATTTTTGCTTAAGGTTTCAAAGAAAATTCTGTCATTTCCGTTTCCACTATGAATTGTTAAATACTATACTGTACAGCATGCCCTTCAAATTTGTGGACCTAGTGTATTTGCGAATGACACCTTGGATGAACCCAAGAATGTCTAAGGGTAGTTTTAAAATTGCTGACATTTTTGCAGCTGGAAGAGGGAGCCATTCATTCTGGAGATAGAAATTTCCTTTACCTGTATTGCATATATGAATATTTGTGAGAGGATTTTCCCGTTATTATTTATTTTTATGTGTTTCGTGAACGCACGCGTGCACACACACACATATACAATACAGGTAAAAAAAAAAATTATCCTCAGGGCAAACATAAAGGGAATATACTGTACATTTCTTTGTACACAAGTAAAAGTGTAACCCGGTCAGCAAATGTGATTCGCGGATTTGGCGATTCGCGGCCATTTTGAGAACCTAACCCCCGCAAATTTGAAGGCCATGCTGTCTTGAAGATGCTACAGTACAGTAAACCTTTTGGCCCATGTTTCCACATTTCAATGGAGACCTTCTCAATTTATCAGATATATAAACTGTGACAACTTCAATAATAAGCTCACTTAACTAAAAGTGAACAATGCATAGCAATAAACAAGGGACATAATACAGAACCCTGCCCTAATATACAACTTACCTGTACTACTCAACTCCCTACCACTTTTCAGATAAACATTTGGGTATACAGTATAATTATTTTCTTACACCCACACACACCTTAAAATCCTCTCATATTCATAAACTGTTGTTAAAATTCCATTATAAATGAGGCAAAATCTTGTAGGTTACATTTACAGTAATCCCTTATTTTCTAACTTTTGGCAACAGATAGGTTAGAACTCTTGTTAACTCTAAAGGTATTTTGATCTGAAATTAAGCAAGAGATTAAAACAATACTGGAATATTAACTTCAGATCACATTTAATTACTCAAATCTCACAAGTGATCCAAGTGAGCCAATTACCACTGCATGGCTCTCTTAGTCTCATGGCGTATAGTATTTACACGTATTTGACTAAATTTTACGTAAGAACAGAAACCAGATTTTACCGTCACCTGTGCAATATAATACCCATTTCTGTGCATTTTATGATGTGTGTCTGTGCAATATAATACCCATTTCTGTGCACTTTATGATGTGTGTCTGTGCAATATAATACCCATTTCTGTGCACTTTATGATGTGTGTAACTGTAATTCCATTGTTGTTGTGTTGAGGTGAGTGCATCATGTTTATGCATCACCTACTGTACAGTATTATGAAGAGCATTAATTCTTGAGTTAATAGCTAACTATTAAACTATCAGAATTAGATAACCACAAGAAATTGTTGTAAATCAGAAAATATGAACCAACTTCTGTTGCAATTGTTCGGAGATGCTGGTACACTACTACTGTATACTGAGGTTTGTCACTTCACTGTACATCCCGTATCTCTTTAATCGAGTCTCGCAAATTCTCCAGACCATTAGACGATCTGCTGAAAATTTTTGAAAAGGTTCGCCTTCTAAAGTTGCATTTCTCCAGTTCTTGTGCTTTTTGACTACCCCTTCGAATAACTTGGTCAGGCAAGTCTGCCAAACGAGCAGCATTAAATCCGTATGATTTAGGGCAGGCTCCTTCAGTAAATTTATAAAGGAACGTAATAGTTTCCTGTGATGGGTCATCTTCATTTTCTCCTTCTACCATACATGCCTGAAATTATATAAAAGTTAACAAAGGTCAAGTGGAAATTTTTTATAATAATTTAAAAATTTGCTAAAATTACCTGACTTATGATAGTGCTCTAACAAAACAGAAGCATTTGCCACAGGTCTAAAGTTGGAGAGAAGTCATTACCATAACACTGAGGTTAAGGACATGGGAAGCAGACAACTTACCATATGACCAAGGGACACATTCTTAATGATCATAAAGTCATCAACTAGGGAGTGGTAGTGGGTGGAGAAGAGTGTCCGGCACTTGAGCTTTACCAGAGCCTCCACTGCAGCAGATGCTATTGCTGTGCCATCATAGGTAGCGGTGCCACGACCTAAAAATATATGTAAAAAGAAGAAAAATGGGCATTAAAAAAAAATTCCCAAGTTAATTAGTGGTAAAATGACTTTATATAAATGGAGTATCAATCTTAGTGTACAAATCCCAGAAAGTGAGAAAGCCTATTACTATATGTATATGGTCTACAGATAAGGAGAAAGAAAGGAGAGGGGGAAGCAGAGGTTGATGCAACAAGTTGAAATGTAACTTGTTGACTTATTAACATGGAAACTAGTGAATGACTCTTAGTTCATCATAATTAACGTAAGGCTATTTTCCACGCTTACATTGGGTTAGCCACGTTAACTGATGACAGCTGTTGGGTACTACCAGAACAGGATTTCCTCCCTCCTCTCACCACCACAAACCCAGGGCACCAGCCCAGAAAATGCAGCAGAGACCAGGGGTTAGGCATAGCTCTGGTAACCCAGTTACCATCAGGTATGTTGAAGCAAAATTTCACAGTTGGATGCCCTTCCTAACACCAACCTCCAGGGTGGGAACAGTTGGCATGGCAGTCACAACTCCCTGAGGTAATCAAAATGATTTTATCTTGATGGGGGAAAAAGGCATAAGGAATTATGAAGATAACAGAGAAACTGAGTGAAGGGTGAAGAATGATAACCTAAGGAAATCAGGAAAAGATGGTTGGCTACCTGAATACCTGTGGCTGTCCACTATGTATTTTACATTATTACTGTATAAAAAAACCAGTTGATATAAATACAACTACTGTACTGTACATCAAGTGTGTACAGTACTTCGTTGGTGACGTTGTATACAACTGATCATAATCTGGAAATTAATTTGGTAAGGATTAAGCTCCTATTATTCCAATTTATGGAAATTTTACTGTTAAATACAAAGGTTTTATACTGACCAAGTTCATCCACCAAAACAAGCGAGTGTTGGGTCGCATGTTGGATGATGGAGGAAGTTTCCGCTAATTCTACGAAGAAAGTTGACTCTCCCATCATTAAACGGTCAGATGCACCAATCCTGGTAAATATTCTGTCTATTGGTGTTAGCCTGCATGAACTTGCAGGAACAAAAGTTCCCTGGAAGAAAATTGAAAGTATGCAGATCAAAATGCTTTATACTGGCAAACTTCCTTACACATACAAATTCACATTAAAATTGTAGAGGACTGAATGTAATGGATGTCTGCAGATGAACAAGTTCTAAATGAAAAAAAAAAAAAAAAAATCAATTTTAATTATCACTGCCTTCAATTCTATCACAGTAAACAAACTGTAAAAAAATAAATTAAATAAATAAAAATAAAAAACAGTCAGAAGCTGGGGTAGGTACTTCCATCCGGACCACTCTTGGCCTCAGTTGCTGCTTGTACTGAGCAGGGGAGGTGAGTTTGGGTTGTGTGCCTCTGCCGACTAACCCTTAGCAACAGTTGCTGAGGGTTGGTCGGCAGAGGCAGCACACCCCAGCTGAGTAGCGATGCAGTGTGTGCACTATCCTGTATAAATTTTGCTCTTTTATGCTTTCATTATTTTTCCTAAATATTCTCATCTAAAATCAACTTCACAATCAGTAGCAAAGGGTATAAAGTAAACTTACAGCAGAGGTGGTTGTGTGGTGGCATTTAAACTGAAATAGGCCTACCAACCGAGTTGCCAGATGCGCTATTGACATACTGCTCACTGCTTCCACATTTATGATTGCCTCCTACACAGAATACACATTCATGCTCTTCATATTTTATTTATTTCTAAGTCACATAAGAATATCTGGGGCATAAGGGTTAACAATTATTTTACTCTATATACACGCTGACTTAGAAATAAAGAAAATACAATTAAAACTATAAAATATGATAAATGAAGAGCATGGGTGTGTATGTGGAGAAGCGAACATGTGTAAGTGGTAGGCTACAACTACGTCTCCAACTCACCAGCCTAGCTGCCGTGTTTATTGTTGCTTTTAATGAAACCATAAAAGTTGTCAAAAAAGCATTACAATACAGTGGTCCCTCAGTTAACGAGCACAATCCGTTCCAGCAGGTTGCTCGTTAACCGAAACCATTGTTTCAATGGGTTTTTGGGTAATTGGTTCCAGCTCACCGAAAATTGCCTAAATTCAACAAAAAAAGGTAGAAAAGTTCACTTACTTTGAGGCGTGTATGTAAAAGGCTCCTGGATGATGATGTGAATTTGAAGTGGGAGGTGGAGGAGGAGAAGGGAGAAGAGAAGGAAGTGGAGGTGGAGGAGGAGAAGGGAGAAGAGAAGGAAGTGGAGGTGGAGGAGAAGCATTTTACTGCTTCTTGGAAGGTGAGTCACCTTCCATGAAAATGTCAGGAACCTCTGGACTGACAGATTCTCCACCATGAACATCCTCTCTCCTTCTTGAAGGGGAAGGCTGAGGGATAGCATCTTGTTCCCTCTGCCTTTTACTGAAGAAAGTGTCAATTGTGGTCTGTGGGGCATCTGTCCTCCTCACCATTAACTTATGTTTAAAGAAGGAGACCACTGAGTCCTCAACATGACACAAAGTTAGTTCAATTTTTTCCACTTCTGGGTGCTTTGAAGCCAGTTCCTTGAACTTCTCCCAGTGGTAAATCACATCTTTCAACTGTTTAGCTGACATATGGTCATCACTTTCAATATCCTCCTCACCACTGTCAGCCTCTACCTGTAACATCTCATCCAGTTGCTTCAAGTCATCAGGAGTAAGTTCCTCCTCATGAGACATCACAAGCTCTTCTACATCCTCCTCCTCCACTTCAAGGCCCAATAACTGACCAATGGACACAATCTCCTGGTCCAACTCTGTTTCTTCCTCAAATTCCTCAAAATCATGGACTACTGATGGCCACAGTGCTTTCCATGAAGAATTGAGGGGTCTAGTGGAGACTTCTTGCCATGATGACACAATCAATTTTACAGCCTCCAGGATGTTGAATTGTGTCTTCCAGAAATGTTTCAGTGTTAGTTCAGGATCATTGGAAGTTGCCTGATGACACCTCCTAAACATTTTCTTCATGTACAACTTCTTGAAGTTGCTGATCACATTCTGGTCCATTGGCTGTATGATTGATGTAGTGTTTGGAGGAAAAAACAACACTTTCACAAAGTCAAAATGATACTCCAAATTTCTGGCAAGGTCAGGGTCATGACCAGGAGCATTATCCATGAGGAGAAGAGCCTCTAAAGGGAGTTTATTGGTGGTTAGGTAGCTCTTGACAGAAGGGCAAAACACATCAACAGCCCATTCATTAAACAGCTGTCTTGTCACCCATGCCTTAAGGTTGGACTTCCAATAAACTCCAAGATTTGTTCTTACCACTTTCTGTTGCTTGAACACCCTGGGGTTTTCAGAGTGGTAGACAAGCATAGGCTTCAGTCGGAAATCCCCTGAAGCATTGGCACCAAGCAATAGAGTGAGATGGTCTTTCCTGGGTTTATGCCCAGGTAAAGAGGCTTCATCTTTGGTGATGAATGTTCTTTTGGGCATCTTTTTCCAGACCAGCCCAGTTTCGTCCACATTGAACACTTGCTGTGGAAGATAATGTTCTTCTTCCATCAGTTCTTTAAATTCATCTAAAACTCTGTTGCCCCTACCTTATCAGCACTAGCAGCTTCACCATGCCTAACAACACTGAAAATGTCACTTCTTTCCTTAAATTTTTCGAACCAGCCTTTGCTGGCCCGAAAATCTTCAAATTCTGTGCCTGAAGAACCAGGTTGATCTGTCTTTATATTGTTCGTAAATCTCCCTGGCTCTTTCACAAATGAATTCAGTAGAAACTGAATCACCTTTCATCTGTTTTTCCCTAATCCAGATGATAAGTAAGCTCTCAGTTTCTGCAATTAGGGATCTACTTTTAAACACTTGTAGATTTGTCTCTCACTTTCACTTCTTTAAATCTGTCTTTCTGTGCAAGAATTGTCGACCCAGTTGATGTCGACATGCCATATTCTTTGCATAGCGCATTTGTTCTAATGCCTTGTTCATGTTTTTTATGATTTCCTGCTTGGTTTGGATTGAAATCGCTTTTCTTGATCTCTTAGGCCCCATGCTGGATTCAAACAATGTCAACACGTGCTTTTTAAAGTTAAACTTGTTGTAAATAAAGAATATTTTCTTTAAAATAACACTGCACTGCGCTATATATTGTCAATATGTAAAATAAATTTCAAAATGACCAATAATTTGCTTGGAAACACATAAAAAAAAAAGCGTTTAGTTGAAGAAAGTCTCAAACAAGATGTTACCTCCAGTAAAAACAGAGAGAGACTAATGCCTGTTTGCTGTGTTAAGAGGCTGGATGCCGCGCATTAAATTACAGTGGTCCCTCGGTTAACAAGATTTCGGTTAACGAGCAATCCCTCGATTAACGAGTTTTTTACGAGCCGACCTCATGTTTTAGCTTGCATTTGGCGGTCCACCAGCTATAGTATTAGTCCGCCAATACAGTAATCGGTTCTAGGGCTCAAATTCCTTACCCTTTTAGTAAATATCAAGAAGTTTATACTATTCAATAATTTTAAAAGTTTAATATAATTTTTTTTAGTTATTTAAACAATTAATGAACATAATTGAAGGTAGGGTCACTAGTTTGTGGCACGCCATCCAGCCTGCGAACACAACATACAGGCGTCAGTCTTTGTGTCTTTTCAGTGGAGGTAACATCTTGCTTGAGGCTCTCTTCAACTAAATGCTTTTTTTTCTGTGTTTACAAGCAAATTATTGGTCATTTTGAAATTTATTTTACATATTGACAATATATAATGCAGTGCAGTGTTGATTTAAAGAAAATAATCTTGAATTACACCAAGAGAACTAAAATTTTATGGGTGAAATGGCACCATGGGGTGACTTCTCTTCCACCCCAATGCCTTCTCTTCTCCCTTCTCCTCCACCCCCATTCTAATTCCCATCATCATCATCATCATCATCATCATCCACGAGCCTTCTATATACACACCTCAAAGTAAGTGTACTTTTCTACCTTTTTTGTTGAATTTAGGTAATTTTCGGTGAGCTGGAACCAATTACCCAAAAACCCATTGAAACAATGATTTCGGTTAAAGAGTTTTTCGGTTAACGAGCAACCTTCTAGAACGGATTGGGCTCGTTAACCGAGGGACCACTGTAGTCACTTTACCTTCAATTATGTTCAATAATTGTTTAAATGACTAAAAAATTTAATATTAAACTTTTAAAATAATTGAATAGTATAAACTTCTTGATATTTACTAAAATAGTAAGGAATTTAAGCCCTAGAACCGATTAATGTATTGGCGGACTAATACTACAGCTGGTTGACTGCCCAGTGCAAGCCACAACTTGTTGAGGTCGGCTCCTAAGAAACTCGTTAACCGAATTTAAGAATCTTATGGGAGGTAACTCGTTAACCGAAATCTCGTTAACCAAGGCGCTCGTTAACCGAGGGACCACTGTACAATACTCTATTGTGGCTTAGAAATAAAGAAAATATAATATAAAACATGAAAATGAAGAGCAAGGGTGTGTACAGTTATGTGTGAGAAGTGAATGTGTATGGAGGTGGATCTAGCTAAGGCCTTGGCTATAAACTAAGTGGCTGACTTGCCAGCCCGGCCGCCTCGTATAATGTTACTTTTAATGAAACTATAAAAGTTGTGAAAAAATCATTACAATACTCTAATGTGACTTAAATATATGGAAAATATAATATAAAACTATAAAATAAGAAAAATAAAGAGCATACATGGGAAGTAAATGTGTTATGAGGTGGCGGGTTATTGGGCTTTAAATGAATCACCAAATGTCTGTGAATCGGCTGAGGTGGGTGATTGCCTGAACTATGTTGAGAGCTGGATGTGTGGGAGGTATGCATGTGGAAGAACTTACCATATATTATGGCAAATAAGATGCACTTTTTTGTCTGAAAAATTGGCAAAAAAAAATCAGCCTGCATCCTATACTGTATGTGAAGTTGCGGTCTCCCATAAGCTAATGAATCCCTCAGTTGCTGTCTCCAGTAGGATAAATTCTACCTAACCCAACTCCAGAATTAAAAATGTTATTGCTTACTTTAATACATTATTATTATTATTATTTTTAATTAATTAAAAAATAATTATTGCAAATACAAAAGCTGGATTTTAACTACTGTACTACAGATGATAACCCGAGACAATTAATGTCCACACCCAACTCTTCAGAGGTAACTAAGCAGTAACCATTTCTGAACTCTTACAAGCATTACGACCTATTAATGTCATACTAGCAACATTTATTTTTAAATCTACAAATACCTGATTCAAATGAAGATTTACAGATAACTTTCTTTTCATATTTGTGTCTGTTAACATTACTGGCAGCATTGTAGCCAAGTTAGAATTGTCACTGTACCCACCAGGCTACTGTGCCAAGCTGTGAAGTGTTATGGTGTTTTTCAACTCATCTTTTTGGGTAGATACACGTAACTTTTTTAATTTATCTTTACTCAATTACCTGCACACACCATCCTACATACATATGAAAAAAGAAAAAGTAAAAGAAATAATTGTCATAAGGGCAAACACAAAGGGAATAAACATTTCTTTGCATACTAGTTAGCTGGCTCAGTGGGGGAGTGGGAGGAGGGTGCAGAGTGTGGGAGAGGGGAGCATTGCTAGGGAGTTGGAGGAGGTAGTGTCCCCACTGGTCTGTGTTGCTATGGTGTGTATACAAATGGCAATTGTGTTGAGACTCTCATTTTGCTTTTATTTACTGTTTTGGCAATATATAGTACTTTTTGTTGTAACTTATTTATTGGTATTATTTTTAGTAGGTAGGAGGCAGCTACCAAACAGGGAGGCACTACCGCCCGGGAAGATATTGGAAGCATAATGTGTTGTCTAATGGTAGACCCTGCTGCCATATGGCATCACGAAAATTGTGACCAAGTCCCAGGTTGCAGATCTGACTTTCTGCCTCATTTACACACAATTGCAGGGTCTCAACTGTTTCTCTTACTTTGACAACACAACATACATATATAATTTCTCACTACAGTAAAACTTTGAATAACGACGGTAATGTGTCCTCCAATATTGCAGTGTAAGGTGAATCATCTTATCGCGAATCATTAATTACCATTAAAATAAAGCAATAATAATGAGATGCATTCCCAAGTGCGACCTTTTCATATCTTTTGTGTGGCTTTTTACCCTCTTTTCCCCCCAAAACAATTTATATTGCACCTTATACAATATACATTGATAATATTATGGGCACACAAGAGGAGATGGGACGCCATTGCTGTCAGTGTTTACACCCATAATTGTCAGTTATCCACCTGAAACTGAAGAAAATAAGACCCTGGTCAATGTTGTAGTAAAATGAATGTAAAAATTCAGTAATCTGTTCTATGTTTACATTCGTTTCCAGTGGAGTAAATATGAAGAAAGTTGTGGTCTTTAATATTTTTGCATTTTTTATATTAAAATTATTAGTCATTTTAAAATTTAGTTAACATATTGATAATTAATATATGCAGTACAGGGAACTAGTTTTTTGTGCGCCCACCAGCCGCTTGACTCAGCCACCAGGCGTCAGTTTGCCTTTGTTGACAGTGGAGTAAACATCGATTTTGTTGGCGTCTTGAATATTTTTTCATTTTTACATTAATATTATTGGTCATTCTGAAATTTAGTTAACATATTGATAATATATAGCACAGTGAAGTGTTGATTTAAATAAAATAATCTTGAATTACACCTAGTGAACTTAAAAAATTTTATTGGTGAAATTACTGCATCAAACATGGGTCCACTGAAAGGTGATTTCTCTTCCATCCCCACTTCCTTCTTTTCTCCCTTCTCCTCCACCCCCACTTCTAATTCCCATCATCATCATCAACCAGGAACCTTCTACATACACACCTCAAAGTAAGTGTACTTTACTGCATTTTTTTGTTGTACTTTGTATGTACAGGACTTTTCTGTGAGCTGAAACCAATTACCCAATATCCCATTGAAACAATGGATTCGGTTAACGAACGACTCTGTGGAATGAATTGTGTTCATTAACCGAGGGACCACTATATACATATATACAGTCTCTCCTCGACTTACGACGGGGTTCCATCCTGACGACCAGGTCGTAAGCCGAAAAGTCGAAAATAATAAATAGAAATTCTAAAATGGGTCTCTTTTTCTTCTCAGCACCACGAGAACTCTCACTTTTATGCTTGCCAGCCATTTTAAAGGGAATTACAAAAAACTTTTTTGTCAGTACACAGCGCGATCACTAACGTTGGGACTCGAAAATACGTAATGTGAAAAATATTTTATACGACCATGGCCGTCGTATGTCTGGGTTGTGGCAAGTCGAATATGTCGAAAGTCGAGGAGACTGTTTAAATATATATTTGTGTGTGTGGGTGGGGAGGGGGGGGAATCGGTGTGGCACGCATTTAAAATAAAATAGGCCAACCGAGTTGCCAGATGTGCTAATGACAGGTAAACAGTATATAACCATGTACTTTATGGGATTTTCAAGGGTAATTTTGACTATACTGTACACATTGTGGCTTTGCACACTCTTCAGAAAGTAACCCCTGCGCAAGATGCAGCACGACTGTACACCAAAACTAATCTTCTAACTGTATAACCAACGTCTAAACCTTGTGCCATCTTTCTCATTGTACGGTATGTGACTGTTCAAGGGTCTTCTAGCTTGTAAGTACTTTATTATATTGCATCAATACAAACTGACAGGGAATGAGATGTACAGTCACCCATAAGAGTCGTCACCTCTCCTCCAGAGCCAAAGCAGTAAACACTGATGCAGTGTCCATAATTGCTTTGGATTCACTAGTCTGACTCTTGGGGTTCATGGTTCAAGAGCAGAGGTGACAGGACTTTTGTGGGCAACTGTATAACACAACCAAAAGATCAAAGGTCCAGGGTTCCCACTTGCCATAAAGCACAAGATCTGGTCATTACTCCCAAATGTACACAAGAAAAGATCTGTATTAAAAAGTGATTTGTCTGTGGTCTGATTGGGTTTTATCCATGAATATCGTTTCACTGAAATCAACTTCTATTTACCATACTTATAAGATGCCTCGATGATAAGATGGATGGATACAGTACAATTTTCTTGCCCGATAGGAAGACAAAATCTCTTTTCAACTTGTAATTTGATAATGATGATATTAGGTATCGGTACTACAATTAGCTATGAAGGGCTTAAACTGTATTACAAGAATACTGCTAAATTTCATCAGAGATATGAATGAATATGATAACAGAAGTAACATACTGACACAATGGGATTTCCCTGCACTACACCTTTAATATGAAATAACATAAACTTAAAGATTATGAGATGATTGATATTATAGTCAGTACAAACTACATACCAGTTGTGCCAAAATACAGATGAGGGCAGTCTGTCTCATCAGTGTTGACTTGCCACCCATGTTGGGTCCTGTGACTAAGACCATGGCAGCATGAGCATCTTCACTAGTACCACCTATCACCAGGTCATTAGGAATAAATTCATCGCCGCTAAATGTTGTCACCACACATGGGTGGAGGCCATCTCGGATATCAATGAATGGCTGAAACAAAAACAAAAATACAATTTACAGAATAGAACCTCAAGCAATGGATGGATTATGGAAAAATATATATTTCAATCACAACTTCCAAAAATATAACATAAAATGATGTTAAAACCGTGTACAGTAGAAATCCAAAAATCCGGACTGCTTGGGGATTGGGTCGGTCCGTATTTTCAGGCAGTACTTTTAAAATTCAAATTTAAGGAGGAATAAAGAAGAGATGAACAGGTACATTTTGATAGTTTATTCATTAGCAAATATAGCATGCTTCATTTATCAAAACGAGCAGTTTTAAAGAAAAAGCTGTGAATTCTAGAATTTTATTCTTTGCCTTTTTTATATCATAAATTGTAGAATTTCCAATGTCGTATGTTTCCATTAGAACAGTATTGCTCACACCACGTTCTAGTTTCTTAATCATTTCAAGTTTGTCACTCAATTTCAACGTGTTCTTCTTTCTCTTCACACAACGAAGTTTATCTACTTTAGGAGCCATTATTATGGGCTTGTACAGTACTCTGTAAATGGAAAGAGTAGGACTCAAAATTACATATGTTGTCACAGTTTGATTGCTCGTTTTAAAGTGGCAACCACGTGGTCGCTTGTTGTTGCTGTGCAGCTGTGACACTCACGCATGCGCACATACACACAAAAGCCCGCTAAAAAAAAAAAAAAAAAAAAAAAAAGTTCGAGTTTTCAAAAAGTCCGGATTCTCGGGTGGTCCGGATTTCTGGCATTCAGATTTTTGGAATTTTACTGTAGAAGAAAAAGGCCATCACTACAACAACCAGCTTTTCTCTGACTCTATAAATCCTGACCACCTCCCATAGTGCCCCGTGGTCTACCCTATCACACGCCTTCTCCACATCCATAGATTATGTAAAAATTTTTCTTTATTTTGTATTTCTATGTGAAAAGTTTTTATATACATTCCTCCTTTACTTTACCTGCTTAACCATTTATAATTTTCTTCACCAAACAATTTTCAACTCTACCATATCCTTTTCAAAGTATGCTCAGTAGCAGTGGCATATTCCTAATGAATGCAAGGCATGCCTCGTAGAAAGCAAAATATAGTATCTAAAATAATTAAGATTTAATGTTAGAGGCTTCACAGTTTTCACTCGGGAAAGTCCAGGAGACTCAGCGTCCCTCAATGCATGCAGAAGGATAAGCCACATGCCCCCAATGGACATATACACGTAACCATCCTATCAATAACATGCTAAAATAAACTGTGTGTTGGAGCATAAGGAATTGGAGCCATTTTAGTCAAATTTAATATCTTTTTCCCTTAATAAGCATGAAATCTTATGTTATACGGTGATATTATATTACCAGTTGTTGTTCCATAAGAGTGGCTATTTAATAAAGTTTCTGTAAACGTAATAGGTACAAATGCATGCAATTCGAAAACTGCATTCAATTGTTGAGAGGCTAGGTAGACCAGCGGCGGCTCTGTCAGCTGGACAAAACTTGATATTTGATAACTGAAATATGTGGTGTTCTGCACCACAGTGTGCCACTGTTCAGTAGACTGATTCCTCTCTATCTGTTGTCTGTTGCAGTCTTCCTTATTTACTTTCCCTTCACTGTACAGTACAGCTGCATTTCCAGGAGGGAAAAAAAAAAAAAAAAAGTCTACAACTGTATGTTCATTAAGGATGTACAGTCACCTGCACTTAATCTTGGTACAGTAGCTGGCACATTTTGTGAGATGTAGCAATTCTGTGGAATGCTTATCTAGCATCCTTTGTCTAGCTACTATTGTGAGGTTCCTTAGGGCCATTCCAGGAGTCTTAATACAATGTAACCAAAGACAGTGTGCCACTTCTCACAAACTGCACCAGCCACTGTACAGTACCAGGTAAAAGTGCAGGCAACTGCACATTCACTGGAGGGGAAATATAACACACCTGTGCACCTTCTTCAGGCGTGATGATGTCTGGTCTGATGGTGTTAGCTTCCTGAGAGTACCGGGTAAAAGACAACAGAACATCAAGTACTGCCACACACTGCAGCACTGACTCCCACTTCTTGTGGCTGCAAGAAAATTACCAAATAATTATTCCAAAATACAGTAGAACGTCGATTTAAAGCGATCCAATTTAAGATTATTGATTTAAAGCGGCACCCACAATTAAGGACAATGTTTTAATTTAAAGCGAATCTTTCATATTTTTCGCGAGTCAATATGGCGCATCACATTTTAAATTTCGCGCCTAATGTTTCTCTGGGCACGCTACACTGTCTTAAGGGCAAAGCTGTACTGTACATGTACTCAAAATAATGTACTAAAATTTTTGTCTAGTGCAAACTATAGCATGTTTCTATTCAAATTACTCACTCTCTTATAAGAATTCCAGCAATGTAAATTATATTCTCCCCGGTCACTTCTGTGACATTTTATCAGCAAAAAACAAAAAATCAATCTAAAGGACATAAATAAACAAATAAATACTTCCCTAGACCTTTGGCCCAACTGTCAAACATGTCACTGTCACTTCCCCCCCCCCCTCCCCCCATCTTCCCAGCCAGGGTTTGGTGGTCTTAGGCTTAAAGTTTTTATCTTATGAAATATCACAGACTAAAGTTAGGAGAATATAAACTGCATTGCTAGAATCCCTGTGAGACAGCAAATAATTTCAATACAGACATAATATATTTTGCACAAGATATAAAAACTTTAGTCATATTTACTAATTACCAAAAATTTATTGTCTATTGCAAAATAGCATGTTTATATTCAAAGTAATTACTATCTTACAAGAATTCCAGCAATGTAAATTATATTCTCCCACGTCAGTTCAGTGACATTTTACAAGAGAAAAACATAAACTCCCCCTATATGACAGATAAATAGATACCACTAGGTAACCCCGCTGTCTACGCTCCATCCCAGCTGTCATAATAAATCAACTCTCCTCCGACTTCCCTTCTGGTAAGTGAGACTGTGGTTTATAGGCTTAAAGTTTTGATCTTATAAGATGTCACAGACTAAAGTTAGCAGAATATAAATTGCATTGCTGGAATCCTTGCAAGACAGCGAATAATTTGAATTCAGACGCCATATATTTTGCACGAGATAATTTTTTTTTAGCCCTTTGTAATAAAATGACTAATTAAACTAAAAATTGTCTCTCTTGCGAACTATAGCATTTTTATATTCAAACTAATCACTATCTTAAAAGAATTCCAGCAATGTTAATTATATTCTCCCTTGTCAGTTCAGTGACATTTCATGAGAGAAAAACTTAAAGTCACTCTTAAGGACAGACAAATAAATAAGCACTAGACCTTGGCATCAACTACCCAACATATCACCCCCCCCCCCCATCTTCCCATTAGCTGATTGCTAGTAAACAGACCTTTCACATCCCATAATTTTAGCTGTGTTGATTTATGAGTGTTTGTTTCAACATAATACTACAAAAAACAATGTTTTGTTTATTCTAGGAGATGGGCTGAGGTGCATCTGGGTAGACTCTCAATCTTTTTAGTATTTTGTGTTTCTCTCAAGTACCAAACAAAATTATTCCAATGAAACAACACTTTGATTTAGTGCGAATTCGGTTTAAAGCGACCTCTCTTGAAATATCTCGTGTTATATCGACGTTCTACTGTATCTTAATAATAATAAATATATTCAATAAAAACACTAACTTATTTATCCTGTCAGAACAAACAGACAGGAAAAAATATAGAGTAAAGAATAATGGGATTTCTTCTTAAGGTACTGTGGTACAATAATAGACCTGGGGCATTATCTCACCATCTTACAGTCATAGTCCAATGTTTTTCAATGATTCAAATCGTTTCACCTCACATAAAGTACAGTATGCATGTTGTGTATACTAATATAAATATTCTGTAATCAAACTTCATTATAAAAATTTTTCTTATCAAGCTAAATTAAAGCTAATCACTTAGCACTAACAATAACAGCTGTTTAAAAAAGCAATGGCAATAAACTCTACATGTTGTTTCTGGCTGGTAGGCAGAAGTGTATTACCTGTTTAGAAGTATGAAAACACAGTACCAGAGGTAAGCACCTGTTGTATAATTGTGTATGACATCAAGGTACCAGAAGTTCACACATGTTAAAAAAGAAAGAAAAAAGCCCACCTGGCTCCAGTGTTTGGAAATTAACACAATGTACAGAAGTTTTGGTTCAGTTGGTACTTCCTGCAGTTATCAGTTACTATCAGATGCAACTCACAATCAGAAATACAGTAATTTCTCGATTTAACTAACTAATTCGAACCACCTGTTCGTTAAATTAAAATTTCCGCTTAATAAAGCTCTAGGTCAACTAATTATATACATGTACAGTAAAATCTTGATGATACCAGTAGATAACTTCCTGGGTGTGTGTGTGTGTGTTACTGCCAGCAGCCCTTAACCCCGGGCTTAAAGGTTAATCACAATCTTACAAGAATTCCAGTAAGGTAAGTTATATTCTGCCAAGTCATTCAGTGACATTTTATGAGTGAAAAACTTAAAGTCACTCTTAAAGACAGATAAATAAATAAGCACTAGACCTTGGCATCAACTGTCCAACAAATTACCTCTTCCCCCATCTTCCCATCAGCTGATCGCTAGTAAACAACCATTTCATGTCCCCTAATTTTAGCTGTGACAGATATGAAATAAATACACACTAGGTAATCTTCGCTGCCCAGCTATCAACACCTGACCCCCCCCCCCTCATCCTCCAAGCCAGGATGAAAGTACAGTACTGTAGTTTTAGGCTTAAAGTTTTTATCTTCTAAAATATCACTGACTAAGCTTAGCAGAATATAACTTGCATTGCTGGAAACCTTGCAAGATAGCAAATAATTTGAGTATAAACATCACATAGTTTGCAAAAAGAGATAAAATTTTTAGTCCTTTAGTCTAGTACATTTGAGTACAAAGTGAGTACTGTACAGTAATATGTTGCTGGACTGGCCATGTTACCCGCATGGCAGGCAACTGAAAAGGTATAAGGATAGTCTTAAGACAAACCTGTAAAAGTGACAAATCGACCCCCTCACCTGGGAGACGATTACCCCACACCGTAATGCTTGGAGGATCACCATACAAGAAGGTGTCAATACTTTCGAGTTAGCCCGACTGCATAACGAGGCAGACAAGCACCAATGCCGGAAAGAAGCTGCTGTCGCCGCCCCTCCCACACTAGATGCAGCCCCCATGTGCAACATCTGTGAACGACTCTGCTGGTCCCGTATCGGCCTCTTTAGTCACCTCAGAACTCATCAACATAAGTGACATTGTTAACAACTCATACCATTGTATCATAGCTGCATGATCATCATATTCGATTCCGAGTGACAGCAAAATACAGTGACCCTCGTTTAACGAACACCTCGGTTAACGTAATTTCGATTAACGAACTGCCTTCCATAAGGATCTTCAATTCGTTTAACGAAAAAAATTCGCTTAACGAACTTCTTACGAACCGACCTCAACATGTTTTCGCTTGCACTGACCGGGCAACCAGCTTTAGTATCAGTCCGCCAATACATTAATCGGTTCTAGGGCTTAAATTCCTTACTATTTTTGTAAATATCAAGAAGTTTATACTATTCAATAATTTTAAAAGTTTAATATTCAATTTTTTAGTCATTTTAACAATTATTGAACAAAATTGAAGGTAAAGTGACTAGTTTAATGCGCGGCATCCAGCCTCTTAACACAGCAAACAGGCGTCAGTCTCTCTCTGTTTTCACTGGAGGTAACATCTTGCTTGAGACTCTCTTCAACTAAACGCTTTTTTTCTGTGTTTCCAAGCAAATTATTGGTCATTTTGAAAATTATTTTACATATTGACAATATATAGTGCAGTGCAGTGTTATTTTAAAGAAAATATTCTTTATTTACAGCTAGTTTAACTTTGAAAAATACGTGTTGCCATTGTTTGAATCCAGCATGGGGCCTAAGAGATCAAGAAAAGTGATTTCAATCCAAATAAAGCAGGAAATAATAAAAAAACACGAACAAGGTATTAAATCAAATGCGCTATGCAAAGAATATGGCATGTCGGCATCAACTGTGTCGACAATTCTTGCACAAAAAGACAAATTTAAGGAAGTGAACGTGAGAGACAAATCTACAAGAGTGTTTAAAAGTAGATCCCTAATCGTAGAAACTGAGAGGTTACTTATCATCTGGATTAGGGAAAAACAGATGAAAGGTGATTCAGTTTCTGGTGATTTCATTTGTGAAAGAGCCAGGGAGATTTATGAACATTTAAAGACAGATCAACCTAGTTCTTCAGGAACAGAATTTGAAGATTTTCGGGCTAGCAAAGGCTGGTTCGAAAAATTTAAGAAAAGAAGTGACATTTTAAGTGTTGTTAGGCATGGTGAAGCTGCTAGTGCTGATAAAGAAGGGGCAGCAAAGTTTTTAATTGAATTTAAAAAACTGATGGAAGAAGAAAATTATCTTCCACAGCAAGTGTTCAATGTTGACGAAACTGGGCTGTTCTGGAAAAAGATGCCCAAAAGAACATTCATCACCAAGGATGAAGCCTCTTTACCTGGGCATAAACCCATGAAAGACCGTCTCACTCTATTGCTTGGTGCCAATGCTTCAGGGGATTTCCGACTGAAGCCTATGCTTGTCTACCACTCTGAAAACCCCAGGGTGTTCAAGCAACAGAAAGTGGTAAGAACAATGCTTGGAGTTTATTGGAAGTCCAACCGTAAGGCATGGGTGACAAGACAGTTCTTTAATGAATGGGCTGTTGATGTGTTTTGCCCCTCTGTCAAGAGCTACCTAACCACCAATAAACTTCCTTTAAAGGCTCTTCTCCTCATGGATAATGCTCCTGGTCATGACCCTGACCTTGCCAGAAATTTGGAGTATAAATTTGACTTTGTGAAAGTGTTGTTTTTGCCTCCAAACACTACATCACTCATACAGCCAATGGACCAGAATGTGATCAGCAACTTCAAGAAGTTGTACATGAAGAAAATGTTTAGGAGGTGTCATCAGGCAACTTCCATTGATCCTGAACTAACACTGAAACAGTTCTGGAA